GAAGCATGCAGCAGCCGTGGGTCGCATTCTTTGAGCGGCCTGAGTACATCGCTAAGCAGCCCGCTTGCATTGGGAGGACAATGTGGATCATACGATCACCTGGGCGAACCTGCAAACCGACATCATTTAATAGGTGAGCGCCCTATGCTTCCCATACCGCAGGGCTCGCCACCCCCTCCTACACAACCGCCACTATCAATACCGATTTATTACCGCGATTATTCAGATCCACTGGTACGACCGGCTTACGACTTTATATGTCATTCCGCGTGGTATGCGCAAGTCGCGGCCGAACTCGCGTTGTGTGCGGATTGTGCGACAAGCGAGCACACATTTTGCATTTATAACAGACCGAACGCCGTATGGCGACAGTTACACCTTATCTCGCGAACTTTCGTCCATACAACTCTACACTGTGGACGATGTTATAAGTTATTAATAAAAACTAAACGCGCGATTGATTGTCACGAGTGCCGTACTACTATAATAGATTTACGCGGACGTACCGAACATTTAACCTATCAAGTTTTATGTGAAGCGGTTATTCCACGAGGAACACGTTAAGCAATAAACGATACAAAACATTTGCTAAAAGATTTAATGCTACTATATCTTATATAACCTACATATTATACTTTTAAACATGCTTATCGATTATTTTGCGTTATATACTTATATTTAACTTTATAAATTACCACTTGATTTTCTTTTTAGTGTACTGCTTACAGGGAACTGTCTTATTATTTAGCACCTTTATATTAGCGTTAGCATTACTCAAAATAATAAAATAAACATTAGCGAGCGACCTTACTATAAGACCACATTAACCTAATACTAACATTTTTATTATGTACATGGTGAAGGGATCGAAATAAAATATTAATTTTATACATTAACCTTAACCTATGATTATACTTAATGAGCACGGTGGAGGACCTTAATTTCCTTAGAATAAGTACTTTGAAAATTAAATCGTAGCAATCAGTAGAATATAATCTTAATTCTATATTTTAACTTTAATATACATGCATAGAAAAGGGGAAAAAGTACGCTGACACACGCATATAATAGAAAATAGAAAAACACATATATTTAGTCAACCTTAAAATGCAAGTAACTCACATGCTTTACTAATTGTAAGATTACTATTATAACGTATTCATATTCACACTCGTAAAACCAGCCCATCCAGGATAATTTCGTACCTATTCCTTACCTGAAATAAAATGAAAGAAAATACATTAATATTCTTATTCATATATATATATATTCATAAGATTATAAAATAAGATTGAAATACTTATCCTTTATCCTTATTAATTCAGTCTCAGCTCACTATTACCTCTTCTCACCTATAACAATAACGAAATATATTAATTACTGCACTCTTATACGATAAAACCGTTATATATAATCAATAAATAATTATCCTTACAGAGCTAAGCAAAATGTCAACGACAAGCCTTATGCTAGAAGTAACAAGACTACATAATCTTGCTTATCGCCTGGATTTAGACGAAGCTAAGGAAAGAATACGCGGCAAATACTTGAATATACTTAAACAAAAATAATAAAAAATAAAAAAAGGGGAGAGACTAAAACTTATATGAATAAATGTA